ACAGTATACAGTATACAGTGTGTATATATATATAGATTTAAATTAATGTAGAGAGAGAAGGGGTACGGCGTTGTGGTTGCAGCTTTTAATGTTATAATGTTTTTGGATATTCGAGTCAAGAAGAAAGGTGGATTGTCATTCTTAGTCCTTTGCTGCTTTTGCAATTCTTGCTTTTACTTTTATGATGTCCAGGGTGACCTTCCACAGAAAGTGTCAGTCAGCGCTGCCTTTGCCTTGCTGGGAGCACAGCCGGGAGGTTGTTGTTTGGACAAGCGACGAAAAAGGAAAGGAGGTGTTTGGGTCCCTTGAATAAAGGGGCCTAAGCTGTTTCTTTTTCATCTCTTTGTCCACTGGCCGACCTTTAAGGTCGACCAACCTTCTTCACCCAAATCCAAAACAAGCGCATACTGCCTGCTGCTCAGTTGGGGCAGTGGTTTGTTTGTCCAATTGTGCAATCTGAGCTGACTGGCAGGGCAGGGCACTCTTGTTTAGTACAGAGTTTGTTCTTTAGGCTCCGCACTTCTGTTGGGCTTTGAGCTCAAAGCAAACAACCCAACCCAACCATGGAGTTTCCTAGTAACCTAGAAAGGTGTTGCTCCACACCATGAGACTGTGCTGAACACGACCGCAAGAAGCCAACTTTGCCAATGTAGGATGTGCTGAAAGGAACAGTGAATAGAGGTAGCGAGCGCAGAATAGCACAGCCACTGCAATAGATGGGGGCACATTGGCAGGTTTTCTTCATTTTTGTAAGTATCACTTTTTCATGTACAAGCTCACGCGTCCCACGACCCATGGCCTGAAGGACAACTGGACCTTGGATTTCTACACGGCCAGCACCTAAGGTTTCAAACGAATTCCAGGAACTCCAAGCAGCAGATCATCAAACAATGTTTTGACAATTACCCTCCTGTAATAGGATTCATGAAAGAATGGACGACATTTCGTTTCTGGACCTCCAGGCCAGCCAAAGGCAGCTGCGCCGAGGCCTATGGACCTGAGGGGTCAAATGGGTAGACGGTCCCACCAGTAGAAGAGGCATATTCATATGTGTGAGATCTTTGCCCTGGATTGAAAGCTGCTTGGAAACCCCTGCGGTTACTTGCTTACGATCAAAACTCACCAAAGCCATAAAAGCAAACTTAGAACTCAGGACAATCTGCTGTTGCCTAAAAACTATCCTAAGCTTTAACATTTAAAGCCGTAAGAGGTTCCAAAGAATGTTGAGAAATCAGATCAGATTCTCAGACTCATATTGAAAGTGGCTTTGAATGCAGCGAGTAAAGAGGTGTGGGTAGTATGAGGCCTGAACTGCTGGTGATTTAGGTTGGTGCTGGTACACCCAGCCCGAGCCGTTTGTTACATAGAACAGGCAACACACTGGCCGCCAAAAAGTAATTTTCTTCTGAAATGGCTTGGTTTGCATTGTAAAGAAGCTCAAACAAGCAACTACATAGTGCACCTGGGTCGAAGTCGCTAGCCTGTACTGACCAGGTACCCATGAGTCAGAATGGTGGAGCATGGTGCCGCGCTTGGAACGTCCCGGTCAGAAAGGGGGACTGGTGTATACGAAGCTGATTCGAGCGAATGTTTGCACAGCTAACCGAAGACCATTCATGTACTCCTGAAGCTCGTTTGGGCACATCATTGGAGCATTTCCCTGAGCAGCTTGCAGCCAGAGGCCAATGACGTCACTGAGCTCCTGTGAGTGTTTAGCCATTTGAAGGAGCCTGGATGCAGAATCTCTCATAATCCTAGGATTGTCATTGGGTCACCCTAGTTGCAAGAGGAGTGACCCCATTGTTCATCTGGTAGCCAGGGTCTAAGGAGGCTGCAAGGTTGGGCAGTTGAGACAGGGTCTTCCTGCAGGCAGGATGGTTTGACGTCAGTCTACATGCCTTTAGATTTTTCTTGAATTTTGCGAGCTGGTTTGCAACAGCTGAGATTATATATACGTTGTTTTGAACACATAATGTGATGCTGGCAACTAGGGTAGAGAAGCTGGTGTGTGGAGGTCCTCATTCTTGTGCCATTTTAGCTCAAGAATGAGAGACCAGGGACATTTCGTGTGTGGCATGTCGCCCGTTTTGCATACTCATTACATCCATTACTACGTGTGGTTGTATTTGGTGCTGCTGTGCCACTAGTGTGGTGACCAAGCCCAAATTGATTAAGTTTCCCTCAAAATCTAAAAACCAAATCAGTAGTGCGAGCGCAGCGTGAGCTACCCTGCGTCCAGTAGCTAGTACCTACCTACCTCTAGCTACTAGCTACCTCTAGCGGCCTACCCCCCGGGCTTTAACAAGTGCCACGCTAGTAGTAACAGGTGCCTTACTAGTAGTAACAATGCAATGTTTGCTACTAGGAACAAGTGCATCGCTTCTAGTATTATATATGGCTTTAACGCAATCCATCCTAACGGTTGTACTCTGCCACACTTGCAGTCTCGTCCCCACAGCATTCCTTCGGGCCATGTGCCTTCGCCATCGTCGTTAAATCGACAATGTACATAGTACAGCCTGCTCACTTGGAGCATAAGAAATTATGAAGGTCTGGCTTGGCTGTCCCACACAAATCTCAAACCATTTTATCGACTATTACAGTTAGGATCTCAGAAGGCATTTTGGAGCTGCTTGTTCTGGGAATGGTCGATTTTGGCGGTGGTTGCATTTGTGTGTTCGCCACAGTGTGACAGATCCAATCAGATCCACACCCACCACGCCAGTCTGTTCGACATAGCCTACCTTTGCCAGCTGAACTACATGATAAACATGCCTCCACACTCTGAGTTCCGCATGTTTCTCCTGTGGGTCACCGCAGTCCTTTCTCTTCCTTGCACTTGAATTTAGTCGTGAAGCAGGACTGTCTGCGGAGACAAGTCCAGCCGAATTCACAAAAGCAGTGACAGCGAAGTTTCCCGCTTTTGAAGCCTAGAGATCCGCAGCCAAGAGAGGAAAACATAAGAAGGTCCCTGTGCATCCAAACAGCCACTGGCCGTGCATCTTCATTTTTATCGAGCGGTTCAATCTTGTGCTTCGGAGATGCTACTGACGGAGCAATGCTGGACACTGCAATCTTTGGGCCAAAACTTGTGCCAGGCTTCTTGTTTCCGAGCTGGGAATTTCCCGGTCGAAAGTCTGGGGATGCCACTGGAATTCTGGAGCACTGAATCATGTGGTTTCTGTGTGATGCTGAAAGCCAGTCGAGAGCCGAATCCAGTGGTTCGGGTCGTTTTCCAACTTTGGCCTAACTTTCAACTGCCTGAGCCAGTCAAGCCCATGCTCAGTGCTAATGATCACCGCTGAGATGGCACCGATCCCATGGCGAAAAAGCTCCTAGTAATTAGCATCCTTGCTCTTAGAGTAAGGCCAGGAGTAGCGTTCTTGCTCCTAGTAGTGATGCCAGGAGCCCCTAGTAGCGTCCTTGTTCTTGCTGGAAGAGGCCAGAAACGTACAGTACTCAGTAGGTAGAACACTTGACATTTGTTTGTCGAAGAGGCCAGAAATGTTGATCGCGGAAATCTGCGATCTTTTTCTGACCTGTTCGGGTGATGAGTGATGAAGCCTGCAGCAGGGCTTAGCAAAATATTAAGATTGCAGACCGGAAGAATGAGGCAACTGAGATGGATTTTTGGGCTAAAACAATGTTATATATCGGACGTAACATTGCGAATCTAGTGATTATTTGTCCACCAACCCCCTGCAACGACCAATTTACTAAAGAACGGTCGTGAATTCAGGAATTTGGCTAGAAGCTGCAAAAGCGATAGGCCCCCTTCAAACGCGATAATCTTGTTGAATCATGTCCTTTTCGTTAACAAGACGTCTCACTGTAGTATCCACTCACCCATTTCTTTATCTCTCTCTCTCTCTCTCTCTCTCTTACTCTCTCGTCTAGCCTCTCACTCTCTTTTCGTTAAGCAGACAGATGACCAGACCATGTTGTTGTTCTGGTCATGATTGCTTCTCATTGGGCAAAGGTCCCTGAGACGCCGAAGCATATTTGTTCTAGGCAGTCCAAATTGCCAAGCATTCCTTGTGGTCGAAGGGCCATTGCTAGCTCCACTTGTCTCTATGCCTTGTTTTGGGCTCAAGATCTTCCTGTCTTGGCTTTGCTTCGTTTCCGCGTCTTAGCAGCAACATTGGCTTGAACTGGAAGGGGCCAAATAGCATCAAGTAGGCAGTCAAATTTCTGTAAACTTTGAAAGGTCACTGTGCAAAGTGTTTCTTTTGTGTGTGTGTCATCCGCTTATGCGGATGTTCAGGGATCCGGTGTGAAAACGCGAAAACCGCAAAAAGACGCGAACACCGAGAACACAACGAGCACGCGAACACTGCGAACACTGCCTTCAAGCGAAGGTTAGAACTCGGTTTTCTAGATTTTCTCGTTTTCGCGGGCGAATCCGCTTAGATCGATGTCAAGAAACAATTGCCTAGAAAGGCACGAATAGGGTGTTTTCCTGCATGATTCGTTCTATCCATGAGCTATCATCACAGAGCACGAGAGTTTTCGGCCTTGGTGTGAGGTTTTGGCTCGGGAGCAGGCAGGACCGTGTTGTTGCATGTATTTAGAGGCATGGTCCATGGTTGATCTCCAACTTGCTTGTCGTGTGTAGTTGTTGTTCAGACTTGAGGTTTTCCGTTTTTCTGGGTTGGATGGGCCAGCAAAAAGCTTCCAGCACCAAACAAGTGAGTACCCGAAGTGCACTCATCCAGTCGGTGCGCATTCAGACCCAAGGCATGTCGGAAAAAAAGGAGAAGGTCTTCACTGCTGGGAGTCTCGACGCCGTCAATGCTGCCCATCCCCACATGGTACGCCAGCAATCACAAATGTCAGATCTGTTGCTTTTGTCAGTTTTCGAATGAAACGCGCAGACTGCAGGGTTGCGCAATTGTCGCACAAGCCAGTCTCTGTGGCTAGCACGTGCGCTGGTTGATGTCGGCTTTTCTGGCCAGGTGTGCCAAACATGCTTTTTTGGATCTTTTGAGTGTACCTTTGTCAGCTTGGCTCAAGAATGCCATGAGGGGTGTCACAGCCACGAAGATGGCGAGGCGAGGTGGAAGGCTCCAAGGTTTTTCTTTATGTATTCTTTTGCGGTTATTGATGGCAAACTTTTAGAGCTAAAGCAAGTACGTTGCATGAAAGGAGAGTTTTGTGAGGACGGGCGCTTCAACAGATCTTGTCTTGCAGATTGTATGGAGGTGGCCCTACACGACACTAAATCTTTGTGGGCAAGAAAACCACTCCGGAATGCCACTTCCCAGGTTAGCTTCTCCAAACATACATCTTTAGAGCCTGCGCCAGTGCATCAAAACAACCTTTCAGCGAAGCACCTCACAGGCTTTGTCACGGGCGTGTCCCGCTGCAAGTGTTCAGGCACGCCGTGTTTTCTTTATTCTTCTATGCGTTGCCGGTCTTGCAGATGTCACCAGCCTCGATCCTGAAAGATCTCACTCTTCTCAGGTACCGGAAGCTCGCCCGAAGCTTCTCGTCAACTGAATGGCTTGAAGCTAAGTTATATATACCGTATGAGCTTCAGCGGCTTCTCTTCAGCTCAGCAAGAGTCAGTCCAGTGCTTTTTGTCCAAGGAGCCAGTATGCCTCTTGAATGCAAAGGTTGTCTACAAGATCATGAGATGGTGCTCTCCAGATGGAGCGTTCAAACTGGGAGGCTGTGTTGGAGGCAATTTGATGAGTGAGATATCAAGATTTGGTGGTATCTAAGGCATACAGCACCCCGCTCTTCCGAAAGACCAGGAGCGATCCATTTGCTGCAGATTTCTTTTCCTCACTACCTGCCTAGCTTGAAAAGTAACGCCAGGAGAGAGGAACTTGCAGAGAAATGGGACAACCTGGGCTTCTCCATTCGACCAATGAATGGCCATGTCAGGCAGGCCAGCAATCACCAAAATTCCACTGGAGCATTCTGTGCTGCCATCGATAGACTCGGACCAATGCTCGGAGGTATACGTGGTCCGATGGCAACTGGGATTCCGGCGTTTTCGTCCCAGCTCCATATCAGTTGATGCACATCAATGCAGGATCTGCAACATGATGAACAGCATGCCTTTGCAAAGAACGGTCGTGGCTGAGGGAGGTCACGGTGGCCATATTGAATACGTGGTATCCCTCCGTTGTTCGCCAGGAGCCCTGCACTATGGTGTGTCGGCCTTTGAAGGCATGAAGGCGCATTGATAGCTAAAGCCAAAGCTGCAGATTCAGATAGCCATGCAAGAATCTAGAGTGTTTGAAGCCTACCCGTATGAAGGATAGACTAGCGTTATGGAGCCTTCTTCGGCCTGTCATACTGCAACCTTGCCTTGCAGGCCTTCGCTTGCAAGGATGGCAAGATCCGCTTGCTGAACCCTGAGCTGAATGCTCGGCGAATGCAGAAAGGTGCTGAGGCACTTCTGCTCCTCGGTACTGTGGCTTTGGGACTTCACTACTCCTTACTAATAACCCGAAGATGATTGTCTATTTACTGTATTTGTTAATTATTGTTATTTCTCACGTTTTTCTATTTTGTTTGCTTTTCATCCTTTGTTGAGACCATTGCTAGTTCTATTGACCTTGAAAGCACCCAAGCCAGGACCGCTGTCCGGGCTGCGAATTTGCCCGAATGTTGCCTTTTTAGTTGTCGCAACATCCAAGCGGACACGGCCAGGGTAGAATTGAATTTGGTATGATTTGGTCGAACGGCAAGCTGGTTCACAGAACTTGGGACCAGCTTGTCACCTTGGCCGGCAGGTAAGCTTCGATGTTTTTGTGAAAGACATTAATGTGTTGAAGCTGCAGATGTAAGGATGCCCAAAGTACCAACCGAAATGTTCATCAATGGCGTGATGGAAGCTATCAGAAGAAACAGAGAATTTGTCCCACCCTATGGACTCTTGGATTTTTGGCGTTGAAGCTGTTGTGTCAATCTCGCCTCATGAGCCAGCTTGGTGCAAAATACCTCTGAGAGAGAATGCTAGCAACTGAGGAAATAATGCGTCTATGTATATCCGGCCGCTGCTATTTGCAAGTGGCCAAATGCTGGGATTGGCACCACTGGCTAGCGAGTACACCTTCTTTGTGACGGTTTTACCAGCTGGTGGGTATTTTGGAAAGGGTAGCGAAGTTGGAGTCAAGGTGGGAGTCATCAACTTGTGGCTTGACATTTTGTGTATTGGTCAGGACAGGTCAGTTGGCAAGCTTTTCACTGATTCAATGGAGTTCCTAGCTTCATAGCATGGCCAACATCACATGTCGGCTCAGATCTGTTTCCAAACGGAAGTTTATGTTAGGGTCATGTTGAGCACCGAGGATGCTGCCGCCTGTTTGATTCGACCTGTTTGACTTTGGGAGGCCATGGTGAGCAACAATCACGACCGTGCTGCGCCCAAGGGTCTTGGCGCTGTGAAGGCAGCAGGGAACTACGCAGCAGACCTAGCCCCGGTGCACCAAGCGCACGCGGATGGCTACAACACCACCCTGTTGCCAGGCTTTGAGCAGGATTTTTTGCAAGACCTGACGTCCAATCTATACTACATGTACGTGTGTGATTTCTGCCTGAGAAGTTGACCTTCGAGATGTCATCCATCGGTTCGCCGGTGGCTCAAGGAACGAGAGGACTCGTGTGGTGCCGGCAGTGAAAGAGCGCGGCCGCGGGAAGGGAGGTCCCTTTTGATAGGTTAGGGTAGGATCCCTTAGGTTCGAGGTTAGAGGCCTCTAGGAGTTGGTAGAGGTTTGAGGATAGGCCGCTGCCAGTGTGTGCTCCTACGGGAGTCACATTGGTAGCGGAGCCTAAAGTGGCATCCGCAGGTAGGATCAAGCCATGGAAGGCTCCAGTTCAGGCAGTGATGACAAGGGTTCTGGAATCTGGGGATTGTTGCCCTCGTTTGACCCCAGCACGGACGACGCTCGTGAATATTTGGCGAAGGTGAAATTCCTGGACGGAATCTGTCCTAAGAAGGACCGGGCAATGTTGGCCCCAAGGCTTGCTATGTTGTGCAAGGGTACCGCTTGGCATCAAGTGAGAGCCCTGTCGCCCGAGATGCTGACAGACCCAGTCAATGGGATCAAGCACTATTTAGCTGCCCTACAGAGTTGGGAAGAGAGTTCAGAGCTTCGCACATTCGAATTGTTTGACAGAGCCATCTACAAAACAGTTCAAAAAGGTGATGAATCAACACAAAGTTATGTCAACAGGTTGAGCGTGGCCTTCGATGAAGTTGGACCTGACACAACTCTCAAGTCGGTCATTGCCTTCATCCTCCTGAAGCAAAGCAACCTGTCCCATGAAGACAAAAAGAAAGTGCTCACCATGACCAGTGGAGTCCTGGAGAAGACGGCCATTGAAGGTGCGATGCGATCCCTATCCACCAACGTGTTGACTGGATCAGGGAACATGGAAAAGAAGAAGATCTATCCCACCAACTACATCGAACCCGATGAACCCGAAGTTCCAAAAGAGGCCAACCAGGCCTATGCAGTGAATGTTGA